GGCCTCCCAAAGTGCTGAGATTACAGGCATGAGCCACTGCGCCTGGCCAATTTTTTGTATTTTAGTAGAGATGGAGTTTCACCGTGTCACCCAGGCTGGTCTCAAACTGTTGAACTCAGGCTATCCGCCCACCTTGGCCTCCCAAAGTGCTGGGATTACAGGCATGAGCTACTGGACCCGGCCATAAAGGACTAATCTTTACATATGCTCCAGTCAGTTAAAGATAAAGAAGAAGCCGAAATTCTCAGGAGAATTATTGTAAATTTCTTATACAAAGAGAAGCAGTGACCCAAGGCCTCTAGTTCATTAAATTGAGTTGGAAATTTTCTCTCCATTTTTTTTATTTTGGGAGAGATAATATTAGTCTGAATTAAAAAAAATTATTTATTGGCCAGGCAGGTGGCTCATGCCTGTAATCCCAGCACTTTGGGAGGCTGAGGCGGGTGGATCACGAGGTCAGGAGATCGAGACCATCCTGGCTGACACAGTGAAACCCCGTCTCTACTAAAAATACAAGAAATGAGCCGGGCATGGTGGCAGACGCCTGTAGTCCCAGCTACTCAGGAGACTAAGGCAGGAGAATTGCTTGAACCCGGGAGGTTGAGGTTACAGTGAGCACCACTGTACTCCAGCCTGAGCACCACTGCACTCCAGCCTGAGCGACACAGCAAGTCTCCATCTCAAAAAAAAAAATCATTTCTTAATTATCTATATTAATAGAGAACATAATTCAGTATGGCCTAGAGTAGAGTACGAGATTCTTTTTTTTTTTTTTTTGACAGAGTCTCACCCTGTCACTGTGGCTGGAGTGCAGTGGTGTGATCTTGGCTCACTGCAACCTCCATCCTGGTCTAAGCCATGCCTCAGCCTCCCAAGTAGCCGGGATTACAGGTGCGCACAACCACTCTCAGCTGATTTTTATATTTTTAATGGAGGTGGGACTTCACCATGTTGGCCAGGCTAGTCTTGAACTCATGGCCTCAAGTGACCACCTGCCTTGGCCTACCAAAGTGCTGGGATTACAGGCGTGAACCACCATGCCCAGCATCTTTTTTTTGTTTTTGAGTCAGGTTCTTGCTCTGTTGCACAGGCTGGAGTGCAGTGAGACAATCATGGCTCACTTGCAGCCTCAATCTTCTGTGCTCAAATGATCCTCCCACTTCAGCCTCCTAAGAAGCTGGAATGACAGGAATGCATCACCATGCCCAGCTAATTTTATTTATTTGTAGAAATGGATCTCACTGTGTTGCCCAGGCTGGTCTCAAACTGCTGGGCTCCAGTGATCCTCCCAACCTCGGCCTCCCAAAGTTCTGGGATTACAGGCATAAGCCACTGCACCTGACCTTACATGTAACTTTTTTATTTTTTACTTTTTTTGAAATGGAGTCTTGCTCTGTTGCCCAGGCTGGAGTGCAGTGGCGCAGTCTCAGCTCACTGCAACCTCCGCATCCCAGGTTCAAGCGATTCTCCTGCCTCAGCCTCCCGAGTAGCTGGGATTACAGGCGCCTGCCACCACACCTGGCTAATTTTTGTATTTTTAGTAGAGACGGAGTTTTGCCATGTTGGCCAGGCTGGTCTCGAACTCCTGACCTCAGGTGATCTACCCGCCTCAGCCTCCCAAAGTATTGGGATTACAGTCATGAGCCACTGCATCTGGCCACGTATAACTTTTGACTCCCCAAAAACTATACTAATAGTCTACTGTTGACCAGAAGCCATCCCAATAACGTAGAGTTGTTTTAACACACTTTTTGTATATGTATTATCTACTGTATTCCTACAATAAAGGATGCTAGAGAAAAGAAAATATTAAGAAAATCATAAGGAAGAGACAATATATTTACTATTCATTAAAGCAGAAATGGAGTATCATACAAGTCATCATCCTCCTCATCATCTTCGCTTTGAGGAGGAGGAGGAGGAAGGCTTGGTCTTGCTGTCTTAGTGAAGGCAGAGGCAGAAGAGGTGGAGAAGTTGGAAGGGGGGCCGGAGAAACAGGCACACTTGATATAACTTTTTTTTTTTTGAGAAGGAGTTTCACTCTTGTTACCCAGGCTGAAGTGCAATGGCTCGATCTCACTGCAGCCTCCGCCTCACAGGTTCAAGCAATTCTCCTGCCTCAGCCTCCCGAGTAGCTGGGATTACAGGCATGTGCCACCACACTTGGCTAATTTTGTATTTTTTTTTTTTTTTTTTTTTGAGACGGAGTCTGGCTCTGCCGCCCAGGCTGGAGTGCAGTGGCGGGCTCTTGGCTCACTGCTAGCTCCGCTTCCCGGGTTCACGCCATTCTCCTGCCTCAGCCTCCCGAGTAGCTGGGACTACAGGCGCCGCCACCTCGCCCGGCTAGTTTTTTGTATTTTTTAGTAGAGACAGGGTTTCACCGTGTTAGCCAGGATGGTCTCGATCTCCTGACCTCGTGATCCGCCCGTCTCGGCCTCCCAAAGTGCTGGGATTACAGGCTTGAGCCACCGCGCCCGGCCTAATTTTGTATTTTTAGTAGAGATGGGGTTTCTCCATGTTGGTCAGGCTGGTCTCGAACTCCCAACCTCAAGTGATCCGCCTGCCTCGGCCTCCCAAAGTGCTGGGATTACAGGCATGAGCCACCATGCCCAGCTGGTCGGTATAACTTATTTTTTTAAATCTGCATTTAAGTGGACCTTTGCAGCTCAAGCCCGTGTTCAAGGGTGAACTTTTTTCTACAGATGGTTGACCTTTCTACATTTAAAAAAATTTTTGGCTTCTGTTATAAAATTGGCCTTTCTTCTCCAAGTGCATTCCAACTAACAGAAAGGGATGATCTAAAAGTGCTTTAGTGACAAGGGACTTCAGCCTGAACTTTAAAAACAAAAGACAGTCCTGTATCACCAATTTGTAAGTGATTAAACATTTTTTGTTTGTAAACAAAAGTGGGGGGTTGTTCTTGAGGATGATTAATAACTGATTATAAATAAAAATAATATGCTTATCTGTATCTCCCCCTAATAACTCACATGTCACTGGTAATGAAATGGATGAGAACATTTGTCTCCATTTCTGAAACCTGTAATAGTATGCAATTGTTTTTACATGTCACTTGTCCAAATCAGTGATTCTCAAACTTTTTTATTTCACAGTCTTCTAAAAGTTCCCCTAATATCCTCCCCCAATTCTGATTTCCCTGCCTATAAGATTCCCTTTTGTTTTGTTTTGTTTTGTTTTGTTTTGTTTTGTTTTTTGAGATGGCGTTTCACTCTTGTTGCCCAGGCTGCAGTGCAATGGCATGATCTCAGCTCACTGCAACCTCCGCCTCCTGGGCTCAAGCAATTCTCCTGCCTCAGCCTCCCAAGTAGCTGGGATTACAGGCATACGCCACCACGCCCGGCTAATTTTGTATTTTTAGTAGAGATGAGGTTTCACCATGTTAGCCAGGCTGGTCTTGAATTCCTGACCTCAGGTAATCTGCCTGCCTCGGCCTCCCAAAGTGCTGGGATTACAGGCGTGAGCCAACCGTGCCAGTCAAGATTCCCTATTATTAAGAAACAAAAAATAATCGTAGTTTCATTTGTCTCTCTGTCTTAGAAATAATCAGAGTTTCCAAATGAACTGTAGTTTGTCTAAGTATGAGACTGAGAAGACTGGAAGGAAATAGGAGGCAAAATTGAGGACTCCTACATAAGAGAAGCTCGGGGACATAGTAATGAGACTTGCTGTGGTTACCAGAGGCTGGTACATCCTTTTACCAAGTCTTACTACTCTACCTAACATCAGGTGTGATTTGGAAAGGATTAATGTTCTCATCAGGTAACGTCTGTTCCTTCCTGGGCACCAGGTCTCACCAGCCCAGCCCACCCCTAGTACTGGGGGGCGACGGAGGCGCACAGTAGATGAAGATCCAGATGAGCGACGGCAGCGCTTTCTGGAGCGCAACCGGGCTGCGGCCTCCCGCTGCCGCCAAAAGCGAAAGCTGTGGGTATCCTCCCTAGAGAAGAAGGCCGAAGAACTCACTTCTCAGAACATTCAGCTGAGTGTGAGTGGATGCTTACTGGAATTGTTGAAAATCCAGAAAGTGGAATGGAATCAGAAAAAGTGGTACAATTTGATAAAAGATGGTAATTCTCTAATTAGGACAGATCTAGAAGTTGTTCCAGGAAGAATCTCTTAACAGTAAGAGTTGAAATCTCTTTCATAGGGATTGGTGAAGACACTCATCATCTACCCCCAAATCTCCTGCTAGAGTCATCCATAAACGCGTTTGGATGAAGGAATTAGATTAAGCACCCCAGGGTGCTCTTTTAAATCATCTGTAGAATCTGACTGGGGTCATGAAAACCCAAAGGGAAATGTGTTTGCCCTAGATGATGCAGCTTAATAAAAGAAAAAAAGTGCTACAAGGACAAATAGAATAACTATAATCTATAATCCATACATTCTCTTGAATGTTATTTTTCCTTCTGATTAAAATATTTAATTTAAAAAGCAATATATAAATACATTTGTATTATAAAATATACACACAAATGTATAGAATAGAAGCAAAGTCTCTCTTTAATCTCCCTTTTCTAGTCCCGTTCTCTTTCCTGTAGATACATTTAATATGTACCTTCCAGATAGATTCATATTCCTAAATATTTTTTATTTATAGTTTTTATGTAGGGCTGGAAGGGTTGTGTGCTTGTTTTTAAGATAAACAGGTTAACAGTATTTCCCGGAGATCTAGCCATGGGTGTGGGAGATCTACCTCATTCTTTTTAATAGCTGTATAGTAGTATATTCTGTAGTGTAGCGATGTTATAAGGTATGGATATTGATACTGCTCTAATTTTTTGCTAGAACAACGTTGCAGTGAACATTGCATGCACCTGAGTAAACAGTTCTGTTACGTAGATTCCTAGAAGTAGGCCTTCTTAGTCAAAGAGCATGTGTATTATTAATTTCAGTATAATCATATTTATCTTAAATAGGAGTAATTTTTCCATTATAAATCCTGACTTTTCACTGTCAGCAACTCCTGTCATTGAATTCATGACTATACTGGCCCTGGGCCCTGTGAAAACTTGCTGGATGAGGAGTCTTGTCCCAATTCAGGGGAGAAAATCGAGGCAATATTCTCTCCTTCCTTTGGGAACAGCCACTGAGGGTGCAAGAATAGAGGATGAATTTTCTTGATACTCTTTTCTTCCCTCCCTCCTCAGAATGAAGTCACATTACTACGCAATGAGGTGGCCCAGTTGAAACAGCTACTATTAGCTCATAAAGACTGCCCAGTCACTGCACTACAGAAAAAGACTCAAGGCTATTTAGGTGAGTGGCACACAACCTAAGTTCAGTCAGTCAGTAAACTGCATGTCCTGAGTGTCTCAACTGTTTATAATTTTGTAACTCCATTCTGAATGTTCTGGGGACCCCACACTGATGAGTGAGTAGCCCTTGTGGAGCAACCAGACCTAGAAAAAAATTGTTTTTGACAACAATATAGAGTTATCCTAATTATCTGTTATAGTTGGGGGTTAAAGGATAGCAGTATTTACTGGGTGCATATTTTGTGTTAGGCGTGCTACAGTGTTCCCAAATCTCTCATGAATTGGATATTACCTACATTTATATGTGAGAAAACTGCACTCAGATTAGGTCATTTAGCTGAAGTTACCAAGCTGGGAAAGTGGTGAAGCCAAGATTTACAGCTATGTTTTTTTGCTTTGTTTTGTTTTGTTTTGTTTTGTTTGAGGCGGAGTCTTGCTCTGTCCCCCAGGCTGGAGTGCAGTGGCGCACTCTTGGCTCACTCCTAGCTCCGCCTCTCAGGTTCACGCCATTCTCCTGCCTCAGTCTCCCGAGTAGCTGGGACTACAGGCGCCCGCCACCACGCCCAGCTAATTTTTTGTATTTTTAGTAGAGACAGGGTTTCACCATGTTAGCCAGGATGGTATCGATCTCCTGACCTCATGATCCGCCCACCTCAGCCTCTCAAAGTGCTGGGATTACAGGCGTGAGCCACCTCGCCTGGCACATCTTTTTTTTTTTTTTTTTTTTTTTTGAGACGGAGCCTTGTTGTGTCGCCCACGCTGGAGTGCAATGGCATGATCTTGGCTCACTGCCACCTCTGCCTCCCAGGTTCAAGCAATTCTGGAGTAGCTGGGACTACAAGCTCCAGCCACCATGCCTGGCTAATTTTTGTATTTTGAGTGGAGACAGGGTTTCACCATGTTGGTCAGGCTGGTCTCGAACTCGACCTCAGGTGAGCCACCTGCCTCGGCCTCCCAAAGTGCTGGGATTACAGGTGTGAGCCACCATGTCTGGCACATCTAGGTATTTCTTACTCCAAAGATACTGTCTTGGCCTAGAAAAGACATAAATCACAGATGATACATTGGGATATAGGGTATATTTTATCTAATGATAGGCTGATGTTGGTTTCAGTTTGTAATGTACGAGCACACATAAAATACTGCTAGAAGGCAATGGCCACAGAGTTGTGCTCAGGACGTAAAATTCTGAAGTTAAAATTACTGTGAATAATTTGCTTATGGGCAATAAAAGCTAATAAATGCTAGTTTTCTTTTTGCAAATTAAATTCATAGAACTATTGCTATCAAATTTTGATATATTGAATTATTTTTTCCGCTGTCTTTATTATTTCAGAGATGTGTTCCCATAGAAAAGGAGTAACCCTATCACCAATTTTAAACATCTCTATTTAAATTTTAATTTTAATATGTACTTCAGGGTGCATTCATTCATTAAGCAGATATTGATGGAATGTCTATTCTGTGCCAGGCACTGTTTTTCATGCTGGGGATATAATAAGGAACCAAATAAATTAGATTAAATCCCTGCCCTTGAGGAGCTTGTATTTTAATGGGTGAGACAGACAATAAACAAGATAAATAGGTAAAATATATGACATGTTAGATAACAGTAAATGTTAGAAGAAAAATAAAACAGGGAAGGGTAATATGAAATGTTAGCAGCAGGACAGAAATTTTAGATTAGGTGGCTTTTGTATAAAGACCTGAAGAAAGTGAAGGAGCTATATGCATTTATATGGAAGAAAAGTACTATAGGGAGGAGGTTCAGCAACTGCAAAGATGCAAAGTCGCAAGGTACCTGGTACATCTAGGAACATCAAGGAGGCTCAGCTGGAGTTGGGTGTAGAGAGTAGGTGGAGACCAAGTAGGAGAGGTAATAGCAGCATTTCATGTAGGGTCTCATCAGTCATGGTAAGGATTTCAGCTTTTACCCTACACTGGGGGCCATTAGAGGGTTTTCAGCAGAAAAGTGATACAATTGATCTGACTAGGCTGGGCGCCGTGGCTCACACCTTTAATCCCAGCACTTTGGGAGGCCGAGGCAGGCAGATCACCTAAGGTCGGGAGTTTGAGACCAGCCTGGCTAACAGTTTGAAACCGTGTAGTCCCAGCTACTCGGGAGGCTGGGGCAGGAGAAAAAAAAAAGAATAAGTAGTTTAATGGACTACTTATTTTTTTTTTATAGTTTTTTTATTTATAGTTAATGGTGAAACCGTTTCTACTAAAAATACAAAAAATTAGCCGGGCGTGGTGGCACATGCCTGTAATCCCAGCTACTTGGGAGGCTGAAGCAAGAGAATCACTTGATCCTGTGAAGCGGAGGTTGCAGTGAGCTGAGATCGCACCATTGCACTCCAGCCTGGGCAACAAGAGCGAAATTCTGTCTCAAAAAAACAAACAAATAAAAAAAACTGATCTGACTTACATTTGTACAGGATTCCTCTGTTAGAGACATCAGGGGTACAAGGGCAGAAGCAGACAGTCCACTTAGGAGGCTATTACAGTAATACAAGCAAGGGATGATGGTAGTGAAAGCGATGAGAACAGGTTGAATCTAGGATATATTTTGAAGTCAGAGTGATGAGAACAGATGGTGTGGTATATACGACAAAAAGAATAAAAAATTGCACCAAAGTTTTTGGCTTAAGCAACTGCAAGAATGAAGTTGTCATTAATTGAGATAGGGTAAAGTGTAGGGGAAATGGTTTGGGAGGTCTGTCAGGAACTCAGTTTTGGACTAACTGAGTTTAAGGAGCCTATTAGGCTTATAGGTGGAGATGTCAAGCAGTCGGTTGGTTATATGGATTTGTAATTCAGAGGAAAGGCTGAAGATAAAACTTTGGGAGTCGGCAGCATATAGCTAGTTTTGGTTTTATTTGGTGTGGGATTTTTTGGAGGCAAGGTCCACCTCTGTCTCCTAGGCTCTCAAGTGATCCTGCCCCCTCAGCCTAAGTAACTGGGACCACAGGAGTGCACTACCATGCCCAGTTAATTTTTTTGTTATTTTAGAGATGAGGTTTTGCCATGTTGGCCAGGCTGGTCTCAAACTCCAGGACTCAAGGGATCTGCCCGCCTTGGCCTTCCAAAGTGCTGAGATTACATGTGTGAGCCACCACACCTGGCTATAGTTTTTAAAGCATTGAAACTAGATGAAGTTCCCAAGGGAGACAGCGAAGATAGAAAAAGAGAAGTCCCAGGAATGAACAATGGGGTACTCCAACATTTACAGGTCATAGAAATGAGAAAGAAGCCACAAGAGACTGAGAAGAAACAACCAGGAAGTAAGGAGGAAAACCAGCTACAGAGCTGAATGTGGTATTCTGTAAATCAAAATAAAAAAGTGTTTCAAGAAGTTCAGTGATTTTAAATCCTGTTGCTGGGCACAGTGGCTCACGCCTGTAATCCCAACACTTTGGGAGGCCGAGGCAGGCGGATCACAAGGTCAGGAGATCGAGACCATCCTGGCTAACACGGTGAAACCCTGTCTCTATTAAAATTTTAAAAATCAGCCGGGCGTGATGGTGTGCATCTGTAGTCCCACCTACTTGGGAAGCTGAGGCAGGAGAATAGCTTGAACCCGGGAGGCGGAGGTTGCAGTGAGCCAAGATAGTGCGACTGCACTCCAGCCTGGGTGACAGAGTGAGACTCTGTCTAAAAAAACAAACCAAATCCTGTTGATGGGCTTAAGAGGATAAGGACTGTTTATCAGTATATAATCTATATAGGGTCAGTTTTCCACTTAGTCCTTGCAAGAACTCTGATACGTAGTTAGTCCATTAAACTACTTATTCTTTTTTTTTTCTCCTGCCCCAGCCTCCCGAGTAGCTGGGACTACAGGCGGGCGCCACCAGGCCCAGCTCGTTTTTGTATTTTTAGTAGAGACAGGGTTTTGCCATGTTCCCCAGGCTAGTCTAAAACTCCTGGCTTCATGTGATCTGCCCACCTCCGCCTCTCAAAGTGCTGGGATTACAGGTGTGAGCCACCACACCCGGCCTTACTTATTCATTATAGCAAAGATGTGTTTAGTTCCTGCTGTGTGGTATAGACATTATGTAAGTACTTGACACATGATGAATAAGACATTGTCACTACCTCTGAAAGAATCATAGGGTCATATAAACCTGTGGATGAGGTAAGGATGGATATCCCAGTCAAGGAGCCCCTGAACTGGGAGCTTCCTAAGGGCAGTGTTCCCGTTTTCTTCTCTGTGTACCCATGCCTGGCACATGGATGATGCTCAGTAAATGTTTGATGAATATACACTGTGAAAACACAAAGAATAAAGCAGTTAATGTACTGAGGGTAACAAAGATGGCTTCACAGGGGAGGCAATATTTGAGTCTATTTTTTTTTTTTTTTTTTTTTTTTTGAGATAGAGTTTCGCTGTGTCGCCCAGGCTGGAGTGTAGTGGTGTGATCTTGGCTCACTGAAAGCTCCGCCTCCCAGGTTCACGCCATTCTCCTGCCTCGGCCTCCCAAAGTGCTGGGATTACAGGCGTGAGCCACCGCGCCCGGCCATATTTGAATCTTAAAAGAAAACTCAGGCATTCATCAGGGTGTCAGAAATACAACTGACTATGGAAAGTTTGCCTTTTTTCCACATATCTCTGTTTAAGCAGCTATAGAGGCTATCTGATGTTTAATAAAACTCCTTGACTTGCTGAGTATGATGACTCATACCTACAATCCCAGCAATTTGGGAGTCTGAAGCAGGAGGATGGCTTGAGGCCAGGAGTAGAAGGCTGCTGTGAGCTGTGATTGTGCCATGGCACCTCCAGCCTGGATGACAGAATGAGACCCTCTAAAAAAATTTTTAAAATATTTGACTGATGAGCAACATGGAGTTACCATGGAGTTACTGAGCTACCTGAGTATGTAGCTCAGGTAGTTGTGTTTGGTAGTCAAATGTTAATATCACTTTAGGTGGAGTGGCATAGGTCATAATGTTTTATAATCATTAATGCCTAGCTAATTTTTAGTCAGGAGGGTCTTAAGATTTCTTTGTAGTTTTACATGTTGACTGAACCTGGGCCAGGGACTGGCCATTCATAATATCATTTTATTATAGCTCGATATTTATCAGACTTACCTGTGGTACAACTACATGGTAAAGGAACATTAAAAATAATGGAATAGGCCTGGCACAGTGACTCACGCCTATAATCCCAGCACTTTGGGAGGCCGAGGCAGGCCGATCACTTGAGGTTAGGAGTTTGAGACCAGCCTAGCCAACATGATGAAACCCTGTCTCTACTAAAAATACGAAAATTAGCTGTGTGTGGCAGTGTGCACCTGTAGTCCCAGCTACTGGGGAGGCTGAGGCGCGAGAATTGCTTGAACCTGGATGGCAGAGGTTCAGTGCCATCAGATGGTGAGCTGAGATCGTACCACTGCACTCCAGCCTGGGCAACAGAGCAAGACTCAGTCTCAGGAAAAAAAAATAATTACATAAAATAATGGAATAATTCAGTTCCTCTGAGAATTAATCAAAGAGGATGGCTAAAAAGAGATCTGTTTTAAATCACCTTTGAAGAAATGAAGGCCAGGCACAGTGGCTTATGCCTATAATCCCAGCACTTTGAGAGACCAAGGCAGGAGGATCACTTGAGACCCTGTCTCTTAGAAACAAGAAAGAATGGAAGTAATGAATAATAAGAAGAGTTGGGTAATGAACTATGCAAAGACCTAGAAACCAGACAGTGTAATTAACATGTTGGAGATTCATTTTATTGGGATAGATAGGTTAATTTTGGCCTAGTTCTTCCCTTCTTACAACTTCCCATTTCCTAGCCCATTTATGACTTAGAAGCCAGGATTCTGGGAAGTGTTTCCCAAAAAAAGATGGGTTTCATTTCCCTTTTGGTCTCCTTTAGAATTATGGCAAAAGGTAGTCCTGCCTCTTTCCCCATTCTGTTTTCTAACCAATTGCTCTCTGCTCTTTGCCCTTCTTCCTGGCAGAAAGCCCCAAGGAAAGCTCAGAGCCAACGGGTTCTCCAGCCCCTGTGATTCAGCACAGCTCAGCAACAGCCCCTACCAATGGCCTCAGTGTTCGCTCTGCAGCTGAAGCTGTGGCCACCTCGGTCCTCACTCAGATGGCCAGCCAAAGGACAGAACTGAGCATGCCAATACAATCGCATGTAATCATGACCCCACAGTCCCAGTCTGCGGGCAGATGATGCCTCCTCTGGTGGAGAGGTCCTCAGCCAGAGCTCGCCCGCCCAAGAGCCAAGAGAGATGTCATCTTATCTCCTCCCATCTGCCTTGGACATGGCAATATGGGTCAGGGGAAACTGTGTGTTGTGAGTAATGGACAGATATGGGGCTTTTTAGCCACATGGTCATGTATGTTTGACACCTGTGCTGGGGGCCTCCCAGCCCCAGAGCCTCATAGATCATCCCCCAAGGGTGGGGTTTCTGATGCACCCACAGCCAAAGGCCTTTCCAGATGGTCCGAACAATCACCCCTGCCCCATGCACGTGTATCTGTCTCTTTTAACACTAACCCTTGGCACTTCTAGGTTTGGGGTTTCTCAGTTCCCTCTCTTCCCACTAAGCTGTGGCTGTTACCTTTTTGTTCCTTACTAGCATGCCACTTCCTGCCAGATAGAGGGAGGCTAGATTTGATTTCATATCACCCACTGACCCAGCCCCAGCCACCCCATGGACTCAGGACTCTGTCTCCCATAGCTGCTTATTTACCCCTGTTTCCTTTTTCCCCTTCCTTAATTCTAGTTAAAACATTCACTTACGGAGAATATAAGGTTACTTTTGATGTATGAAGTAGCAGTATTTTCCAGTTCTTCCATAAGCTTTATTCCTTCTCCCTACCTGCCACCAAAAAAAAAAAAAAGCAAAAAGAAGGAAACTCTCAAGAGTTCTAATTCTTTTTCATCTATTTCCAGAGCTATTTGGGTACCTCATTTTGTTGCTTGACTTTATCTAGTGTAGTGGTGGGGTCTTTCCCACCACCCCACTAGGCCTTGGCAACCTCGTTTTGTGGCCTTATTATTAAAGATTGCTTGGTAGTGAAAAGGGAAGGGCCCAGAATCTGACTGGCTGATTCTGTCTCCTCCCCTCCCTCCTTCTTCAGTTTTAATCATCAGGGCAGACAGGAACAAAATATTTCAAAGCTTGGTCCATCAGGTTAGGGATTAGTTGATTCCTTTATGTTTTATAAGAGTTTACTGGCCAAAGCGTACATATTGTCATCTTTGGTCATCTTTCTGCTCCTGCCTCTCCCTCTTCATTCCCCTGTCAACGTTACCCGCCCCACCCGCCCCCCCCGCCCCGTCTCTCTTCTATAACTACTTCAGACACAGCCCTCCTGGAGGCTGTCATGTAGGGGACTCTCGAGTTCCCTTGCTCTACCCCATCTCTCCCCCTCACACATCTGTCTGCTTTTCTGAGCTAGAGTCTTCTGTTCATAAGTGCCCATCACCATCTAGACTATCTTCTTTGTCTCTCACCAGGTTCCTAGCTTAGCCACTAGGTCTTCCAGGTCCTCCAGAGTTTCTTCAACCCATTTCTGCTCTCTTCACCTTACATGCAGTGCTCCAGGATCTTGAAGCATCATAGCCAAGGTCCTGAGTGGGTTTACTTGAGTATAAGATTGAAAGGAGGGAGGAAGGGAAGAGGGAAAGTACAGAACTGGCCCCCCAGCAAAGGACCCCAGGGTCTGGCCTGGGAAATTGGTGACTATTGCTCTCAACCATTCTTTGAAGAGTTGGGTTGCAGAGGGAGCAGTTCATCTCTCTTGTCCCTGTTTCTTCCACATTAAGGTTTCTCATCTCCCCTGGGCTCTGAACTATGCAGTTTCTACCAGGACCATAGGAAGCAATTCAAAGCCAGAGGCCTGTGGATAGATAGGTCAGCTTTAATTGCCTTTCCGTATGAAACCCTTCCAGTTGTCCCAGAGCCACTTTCTGCCATCTGTGCAAGCCAAGAATGTCCTTCTCTCCATCTTTCCTACCTCCATCTTAAACATACAAAATAACTGCCAGCTTCCTTTCTTATTTTGCCTCCAAAATTCACTGTCACAGGGGAATGAGAAAATGTTTTAAGCTACAAGATTCCCATTTCCTTAAAGTGATATCCTATCCTAGTGAACAAGTCAGGTAGCAGGTTCTGCTGCATTTGTTTTAAATTTCCCCTCCTGCTTTTCAGAGCTGGTGCTGAACAGGCCACACCCCTAAAGACAAAGGAGAGAAAACATGGTTTTCTCATCTTCTACCACCAGGTACCCAACAGGAATAGGCCCTGAAGTGATTCAGACTAGCAAATGTTATGGCAGATGGTCAGGATGCAGGTTACCACATCCAGGGACTTCACTTTTGCCTTTAAAAATTCACAGCCATAACTTGTGCTCAGGACTTCCCCTTTAGCCGGCTGCTCCCTGGGATTTTCTCCTGCTTTTGTTTCGTTTTTTATTGTCTTGATTTCCCAGTAGCAGCCTTGCCCTAAAGCTTGACTGAGTTTATGGCTCCTAAGGAGCTTTCCTAAGACTCTTGACTATTTGTCTTCCGCCTTCAGTCAAGTGTTTTTACAGTTAAGAATTAATTTGTCACTGCATACGTGTCCTGCCAGTCTGTCCCTGTGTTGGGTGACTAATTTATGTAGAGGGTCTTTTTTATTTCTTAGCCCCCATGACTAATTATCTAGTCCTAACTTCATTTTTATCAGTGGGAAGATGTATACGGATCCTCAATGAGGAGCACTGCCAGAACCACAGTAACAAAATGGCACTGAATTAAGGAAGTAGCAGGTCAGAACCCCCGCCCTAGATAGTTCCTGAGTTGGTTCTCAGTCTCACTAAGGAGGCAGAACAATTGCCTACCCTGAAACTTCTCTAATAGTCAAAGGTAACATCACTTACCTTATTATTGCTACCAGCCAGATCCATCTGGACCAGAACCAAACATCATGGAAGGTGTCACTTGGCCCTTCCTAAAGTCCATGGCCTTCCTAGAGGCCTAAGGGAGGACACTTTCAGAAAGGAGCTGAGTGTATGGTGGGTGTCCTGAATTCATTCACGTGAATACAGGACTCAGACTTCCCACCCCACTCCAATGTGAGTGCTCAATACACAGGCACTCTAGCTAGCTGCCATGTACCCAAGGCCACAGAGGAAGGGGACAGAACCAGGTCTTCAGGTCTGCTCACTTTCTGCCCCATTCCCCTAACAGAAAGCTTGCTTAGAGTTGAAAAGTCTGAGAAAGCCTCCCACACTACTAGAGAGGCCACAAAAAAAAAGTCATGCCCCCTTTACTTACTCTTTTGCTGCTGTTTATGCACCCCAAATCTGACTTCCTTGGCCTTCACCTGCCTCCTTGGCCCCAAGCATTAGACCATGTACTCTAAGTAGTGGTTAAAGAGGGACTGGGCAAACTGAACCTCCTCTCGCTCACTTCTCTATCCCTGTTCCATTGGTTTTGGCTCCTTTCTTGATTCACTGCCCTCTAGCACCACCCATCCTGGTAGATGGAGAGTGCTTAACCCCAACCATGCTCTATGTACAGCCTGAACCACCAAGCAGACACCAAAAAAATTCTTCCTGTGGTTTCTGGGGCTCCCCTGCTCCACACTGAGAGGCTCCTTAAAGGTGCCAGCCCCTGAGACAGCTATCCCCACCAGTTTTCTCCTTTTTTCATAACTTTCTTCCCATCCCCAAATCATTAATTTTTCATTAATATTGTACATTGTATACACAGGAAGGAAATATGTTATTTTTTTTAATTTCATAACCAGTCTGTTTAGATTCCAGTCTTCCTAGCTATATCACATATGCCTTGTTGATATGCTCTTTCTGCTTTCTTTAGACTTAATGTTTGACGGGGGTGGGGGTGTTTGGAAGAACAGGAAAGGTAGGGATCCTAAGGCAGATTAAAGGACTCCCTCCACCCCACTATAGCCTCCCACAACTCTAGTCATCCCTCTCATAGTACAGGACTGATTTCTCTGTGTCTGTTTGTACACACAAATGTGCATACAGACATAAATTCCCCCACCCCATACCAAGGTGGTTACCCAGCAGGAATGAGCATAGGTGGCTGCTAGCCACCATTACCACCCTCTGCACCAGTTGAGTTGTCTCTCTTTGGGGTAAAGTCTTACCCCAGAATGAGAAAAGGCTGGGGAGAGTAGGGCAGGTTAAAGGAGCTTATGTCCTTTGTAGATGTAGGTTTGTATCATAGCTACTAAGGTTTATTTTTTTAATGGGGGGGCTAATAGCAGAGAGCTATCTCACCAGCAGTAGCTACTGGTGAGTGATGTTTTAGCTGTAAGAAGTGGCTATGAGCAATAGTTTCACTGACTTTACCTTAGGGCAGTGGTTCCCAGAATATGGTCCAGGACCAGCAACATCAGTGCCACAATATCTGGGAACTTGTTAGAAATACACATTCTCAGGCCCCATCCCAGACCTGTTGAATCACAGACTCTGGGGGCAGGATTTAAAAGCACTCCAAGTGATTCTAATGCACACTAAAGGTTGAGAACCATTTCTTAGGGATAAGCTGGGAAAGTATTACAGGTGTGGAGGATATTTCAAATACATATTTTGCCTTTGCACTAACATTCTTCCATTTCTTTCAGTCTCTTCCTCCATTCCCATTAAAGTAATCCCCATCATATCACTGATCTCAAAATCTAGATTTGTCTTCTTTCTAGTCGTATTCCTAAAACCATGCATTGGTCTGGACAGGAGTTGTCCCATATTCCCTTGCAGACTGGTCACTCCATGTTCTCTGTTACAGTAAGGACCAGCCAGAGCTTCAGCTGTCCCGTTCCTCCCCGCACAACACACACACCTTTCAGGCAGGGAGGAGATGAGCCTCCAGCCCCAAGAGTGGAGGCTGCCACATCCTAACATAGTATCTATTGAAAAGGAAGCAGTGTGTATCTATGATTATATCTCTGATGATCTATATATTTTTGACGTGTAGCAACACCTCTCCATCTTATCAAGGAACTCGGTCTGGGTCTCCCCAGTGCCCAGTGGTGGCCTTTGACAGGTAGGAGAATGCAGTGCTACAGGCTATTTTGTTTTTTGTTACAAAACTGTCTTTCCCTTTTTCCCCTCCACCTGATTCAGCATGATCCCTGTGAGCTGGTTCTCACAATCTCCCGGGACGGGGCTGAGGCAGGGGCTTCGCTCTATTCTCCCTAACCATACTGTCTTTTCCCCCTTGCCACTTAGCAGTTATCCCCCCAGCCATGCCCTCTCCCTCCCTTCCTTGCCCTGGCATATATTGTGCCTTATTTATGCTGCAAATATAACATTAAACTATCAAGTGAACCACTGTTATGTCTGATGCTTCACTCCTCTATCCACAGGCCCCATTGTCCACTCTTCTGGGAGGTCACTGGCCTTTCGCGTCTGTCATCTTCCTCACTCCCCCATTTCTTAGGACAGAAGGAACAGGGATTCTTGTCTTTTTATGCAGGGGAGACACAGCCTATAGAAGGTGGATGATTTCTATAAATTACAAAGTATGACAGAAGGCCCGGGACAAAGCTCCTGTGGACTGCCTTGGAGACAAAGGCCCTTGGCATCCTGGCAGCAAGCACTCACCAGGAAACTTAGTATGTGCTTTATGTGGATGGTGGGTGGGAGAGTTGCTGATGGCAAATGGCCTTTTACTTTTCAGTGTTTTGTTGCCAACCCCCACCCAACCATTAAAAAAAAGTTGCCGGCCGGGCGCGGTGGCTCAAGCCTGTAATCCCAGCACTTTGGGAGGCCGAGATGGGCGGATCACGAGGTCAGGAGATCGAGACCATCCTGGCTAACACGGTGAAACCCCGTCTCTACTAAAAACACAAAAAATGAGCCGGGCGTGGTGGCGGGCGCCTGTAGCCCCAGCTACTCGGGAGGCTGAGGCAGGAGAATGGCGTGAACCCGGGAGGCGGAGCTTGCAGTGAGCTGAGATCCGGCCACTGCACTCTAGCCTGGGTGACAGAGCGAGACTCCGTCTCAAAAAAAAAAAAAAAAAGGTTGCCATTGTGACCAGGGAGCACACACACAAAGACAGAAAGTATAGCCTTCTATGGTAAGGAGGAGGCTGGTCTGGAAATGAGGGGCAGAGTTTATTTAGAAGCAGGTAAGAAAACCAGGCATGGTGGCTCATGCCTGTAATCCCAGCACTTTGGGAGGCTGAGGCGGGTTGATCACCTGAGATCAGGAATTCAAGACCAGCCTGGCCAACATGGAGAAACCCCGTCTCTACTAAAAATACAAAAATTAGCCAGGCGTGGTGGCACATGCCTGTAGTCCCAGCTACTCAGGAGGCTGAGGCAGGAGAATTGCTTGAACCTGGGAGGCAGAGGTTGCAGTGAGCTGAGATCACGCCATTGCACTCCAGCCTGGGCAACAAGAGTGAAACGCCATCTCAAAACAAACAAACAAACAAAAAGAAGCAGGTAAGAGTTCACAAGAAAAACAGGTAATGCTCAGAGACTATGGGAATCAGGAAGACGTGTAGGGAAATCACAGATAATTTATTGCATCTGTATATTCCTTTATAATTAACATCACAAATGAGAACAATGAGCCAGGCTGAAGAATTTGACAAAAGAGATAGCAGGTGTCTCTGGAGTTTCCCAGTAGGAGAGAAGTGATTTCAGAAGCTATCTGTGGCTGGGGTTTGGTAGACACTTGACACAAATAGCCTGTGCCTCCTGAGGAGAGCAGGAAAGGCAGTGGTGGTCTTCACTGTGTTATGGCCAAGAGTACATGGGGGTCCAGATAAGGGTAAGAGAGGAAATTGCTAAAAGCCAAATACCAAAGCCCAGATTATGAGGTTTTGGAGGTGGGAATGCACTCTGAAAACTGGGCAGTTTACCAAATTAGAGGAATCAACCCATTCCAACTTCAAAGGAGACCAGTCACCTCCATCCTAGACACAGGAAGCCCCCTAGACCAGCCTCTTTCTGAATGCAGCTCATCCTGGAGCCACTTGTAATTGATGTTTAAAGAAATACTAGAAGCAGCAGGATGGTAAACATGGAGTGTCTGCCCTATGCTACATGGAATGGTAGATTGCTTTACTGTTCACCTCATGATAACAGGAATAGTCGCTTCATTTTATTGATGATGAATTGAGGTTTAGCCAAGTCACACAGTGACGTTCAAGAGCTAGGATTACAACTGAGTTCTTTCTGACCCAGAGCCAGCTCTGCAGTGTCCCATCCACCCTCACACTGCTGCTTCTCTGGACCTCTGTCAGATAGGAGCAGACAAGGATCATGCTGGGATGCAGCAGCTACTGCCCACAGAAGAGCCATCTTCCCATGTCCTTGATACTCCCTTTTAAGAAGTGGTAAACTGGCCGGGCGCAGTAGCTCATGCCTGTAATCTCAACACTTTGGGAGTCCCAAGCAGCGGATCACCTGAGGTCGGGAGTTCAAGACCAGCTTGACCAACATGGAGAAACCCCATCTCTACTAAAAATACAAAACTAGCTAGGTGTGGTGGCGCATGCCTGTAATCCCAGCTACTCGGGAGGTTAAGGCAGGAGAATCACTTGAACCTGGGAGGCAGAGGTTGCAGTGAGCCGAGATCAAGCCATTGCACTTCAGCCTGGGCAACAAGAGCAAAACTCCATCTCAAAAAAGAAGTAAAACTACAAGATGCCATGATGATGAATGTCAGGTTCTATGCTTGGGACCAACCATGAGACAAAACTTACAAAAAGGTTTACCCTGGCTTAGTCTGCATTAATAGAAATACGGTATCTGGAGCATCCAGATCCAAACTGCTGTGATCTGCATATCTAAAGGATAAGTTGGTTCCTAGATGCCTTGCCTTAAAGAGTGGGGTGCTTCCCCTTGAGCAAAAAAGACTATGGAGTGGGCCGGGTGCGGTGGCTCACGCCTGTCATCCCAACACTTTGGGAGGCCAAGGCGGGTATATTGCTTGAGGCCAGGAGTTTAAGACCAGCCTGGCCAACATGGTGAAACCCCAGCTCTACTAAAAACACAAAAATTAGCCAGGCATAGTGGTGTGTGCCTATAATCCCAGCTACTTGGGAGGCTGAGGCAGGAGAATCACCTGAACCCAGGAGGCAGAGGTTGCAGTGAGCCGAGATCGCACCACTGCACTCTAGCCTGGGTGACCGAGCCAGACTCCATCTCAAAAAAAGACTGAAGTAGAAGAATGAACTCTGTCTTCAAAAATATGAAGAGCTTTTACACATGAAAGAGATGAGAGACGTTCTGTTGAGACTTAATGGAGCAAACTAAGACCCCCAGTAGAAGTCACAGGAAGCCCAAAGCCCCCTCAGCACAAGGATAAATATGTCTGAAGACTGAGGAGACGGTAAGTTCCCCGACTGGGGCACGTGAGGTAATCACAGCTAACGTTTTGAGGATACCTGTTCTATGCCAGCTGTTTTACTGAATGGATTACAAAAAGTATGTGAAGTAATGCACACCCTAGGAAGGAGTTCCTTGTAAAATGGGCCCATGTTTTAGGTGAGGAAACTGAAGCTCAGAGCGGGAGACAACTTGCTCAAGCAGAGGCCAGGGCCTTTATGTCTTGGCTCTTCCTCGGCACAGGCTAGAGACCCACACTGGTGGGGATTCTCAGAAATGGACTCGAGGATTAGAAGGAACCTGCACCATATGGCTTTGAAGGCCTCTCCCTGAGGATTAGTGATTCTGATTTTTCTTAAGACAGGATTCGAGGCTACCCTAGTATGTGAGAGCCAGAGCCAGGCAGAGGCTGTGGTGACCAGAGTTGGGGGCAGAATGATAGTCCAGCCCCATAGTAGCCCGCTCCTGTCTTTCTGGGACTCCCTAGAGTCTGGACCCTAGCACCTCCACTCAGCCTCACCCTCCTCACTTCCTCTGCAGAGGTCTATTCTAGGAAAAGGAAATGGCCGGAGCTGGCAGTGAGGAGCTGTGACCACAGGGTGGCAGCAGTGCTTCAGCTGTGGAGGATGACTCTGTAGCAAGGGCAATGAGGCCAGTCCGAAGCAGTGCTCTCTAGTGAAGATGGGGCTCTGTCTGCAAAGATTTGAAGCCACACCCATTCAGTGGGCTCCAAAACCCTGTAGCCTCCTTCTATATCTTAATGGTTTTTCTTTTTTTTTTGAGACAGAGTTTCTCTCTTTTTGCCCAGGCTGGAGTG